ATTATTATTATTATTATTTTTTGTTGAAGAAATTCTGACCCAATTATATCACACTACATCATACGCGTGTAAACCATTATATATATTTAGCACAACCGAATTCATTAATCAACATCCACATTCTTGTAACTACCATGGAATTTCATCATCTTGCCCTTTCATTCGTTTGGCTTAGGGGCTATTCACGTGCAGACATTACTCATTTGTGCCGTCCACTGGGGGTTGGATCCCAATGTGAATTTATTTCGCATCACCCTGGGCGAAAGGCTTGTAGGGAAAAATCCTGGTCGTTACAAATTTGTTCTTTTATCAAAAGTCTGACACGTGAAATTAGTAAGTTACCTCTCCTTACTTGCAATGGGCACCAATTTTTGAAAAGCCTTCATCTTCTGATTGATCCTCTCTCTACACCTCTACATGAATACAACATAGCATTTGTATTAGTCGTTTCTAAAGAGAACTCTATTATTAATTTTTTCGTGACAATACTAACCCGTCCCTTTTAAAAAGAGTGTCTGTTGTGAAGTGAAACCTTGTAGACATGTTTAGTACACAGTATTGAACAGTTGGGACATACCCTTTATGACTGATTATGTATGGCTGCAGCCCAACTATGGCTTCCTGATGATTGAGATCGAATAGTGGCATCCCAGTTGTTCCCACGTTCTTCATCCTGTTTTTCCTAACATAATTTACAACAATTAAAGCAGGTTGAGAGAGTAACTCGAAAGGAAGTACAAGGAGCTCCTTACAGTTTCTTTTTCCAGTAATTTGATTAATATCTTTTATCTTGTTAGAAATACATGAAAATTCTTTGTCTAGACTTACAAGTGCATCAGAGCTCAAAGACTTGCAATTGTAAAAAGATTAGAAGATGATAGCTCACTAGATTCGAGGTCTTGCGAGTAAAATCTAAGAGACCAGAGATTCCCATTGTCTATTTCTATGCCTACTGATGAAAGTGGAGTTCGTTTGTCTGAAGTTAAGATTCAGCAGAGAAAATTAGTAGGATTGGACAGGACTAGACTCTAAGAAAATGAAGCTAAAATTTTATCAATCATGATGTATGGTCTTGAGCAGCACTGAGTAACGAAAACATGCTCGAAGTTTAGTATATGTTCCTCCTACAAAATTGAAAAAAATTTCTAACCGAGCAAGTGTGAAAACCCAAATCTTCATCTCCATTTCTCGTACTCTTGAAGCTTTGAAAAGGTTCAAAAGAAGCCCATGTCATCATAGTAGTATCAGTATCTCTACAAAATGTTGCACTGGACTAGCACATCCACTGGCTTCTTCCTCTTGATCTTCCTCAAAATATCTTCTACAATTTAGTTCAGATTTTGATCTCTTCCTTTTCTTTGCTAAATCTGCTGGACGCACATGGCAACTCGAAGATGTATCTATATGGCTCGAGCTTTTGCTCAATTTTCCACCAGAAGCCGCAGCCATCGAACTTAAACTTGCCTCCTCTCGTTTCATCTGCATGTCGCCTGATGAACTCTCCGCCAGTTTCCAGCCCATGGTGCAGCTAATAAGCTAAAGTTTGCGTCAATTTGATTAACCTTTCCCATGTGCCTTGATGGACTATTCATTCTAACATTTCACCGGTCCTAACTTAAACAGGCGCAGAAACCATTTTACCGAGGTCATGTTTAGCTAACTGTCCATTTTCCCATGTCAATTCTGCTACTTCAGAATCAGACCTGAACTCCAACATATAGAAAATTTAGTTTTTTTGGTTTATTCCCAGATTATGGGATAATGGATAAAGCTCACTATGAAACGTATAGTTGTTAAAAAAAAATTACTTAGGATTCTTGTGAAAAATTATTTGATAAGTACAGTGCATACATAGGGACATGATCACATGATGTTTTCCCTTCTTTTTCTTCTACATGTTCCTGTCTTTGGTGCCTCTGATTAAATATAGTACTATACAATGATTCATGACGTCTCAAAGAGTTTCTCTTCTCTCTTTGAAAATGAACATGAACTG